CGAGTTGGCCAACTCGACCTTTGAGCCAGGGTTTCTCGGATGGTGTTGGCGGACGGGAGTGGGACGTGCGCGTCGTGACGCCGAAAGAAGGTGGCGAGAGGGGAGGTCGAGGCCGTGAGAGAGAATGAGGGTAAGGTGACCGTATGCCGGCCCAAGGTGGGCACCATGGTCGGCGGTGGAGGCTTCGTTGCTGTCTTCACCAAGAAGTCGCCTGCGCCGCTGCGCGAGGAGGGAGCCCAGAACGCCGTTGATGCGGCTGAGAATGCTGCATCTGCTGAACAGGACGAGGGTAAGTCGGATGGAGAGGCGACTCCGGCTGACTTGTCCAGCCAGGTGAAAAGAATGCTGGGAATGGGGCCGTGATTCGGGACAGCAGCCGCCTCGAGTGCTGCATTACATTTTGTATCATAAACGCTAGACTGTACAACACTGCGACGCACCTCGCTAGACGTGTAAAAGAATACGTGTAAAGAATACGATAGCGACATCCACGACATCCATCAGCCGCCAAGCTACAACTTGTGCTGGCTGTTGTCTCCGCTCTCTCCCTGCGCTTGACTGCCTGTTAGCTGCTTGACGATCATCACAGCAGGAGACAAAAGGATTCAGTCTCGAGTGGTGTTGTTGCAAGGTGTTCGTTGGGTCGTTCGTGTTTGCTAGTCAAGCATCAATAGGGGGCGAAGCTATTGAGCACCCAAAGCAGCATGTTACCAGGGGATCAACAGTGGCGATGCCCTGGTGGACCTGACTCTTTGTATCGGTTGTCAATCATCTGCGGTCAATTTCTGATATAATTGCTGCGCAGACTCATCATTTCCTAGTGATGGTGCTCAGCCAGTTCGGTGCGCCACGCCTCGACCACCCTTGAGCGCTCATCATGGGTTTCCAGTACCAGCATCCAGGCCCGTCTTCAGAAACGCTGCAGCCCTCGGTATCTGCAGACGAATCCGTGAACGTCCAAACTCATGAACGTATTCGGTCCCGAAAGCGCCGGGACTGGTTCGAAAGCACTTTATTCTGGATGTCGCGTCTCGCCTCAATCGCTTGGCTCATAGTTGTGTTCACAGCGGCTTGTATAGTCTTGATATCATGGGAGGGGTATTGCGACCAGCGGCACGGGCATCGCTTGGGTGAAGACCCGACGGGAAACATTCCGGAGTGTGAGTCGGCCCCTGATTTCAACAGGTCCGTCGTTGTGTTCTCGGGCCAAGAGCTGATGCCGAGATGGTCCAGTTCCCCGCGTCATACAGCATTTCGAGTTGACGGCCGACTACACGTTCAACCCGCTGAATACGACCGCCGACGAGAAGCACCAGGTACGAAAGAACTGGGATGCCTTGATGCCAGGTAAGTCAACGGCATGCAGCCGTACGTCCACGAATGGCGCAGAAGCCACCCACTAACAGCCGCAGTCGGCCACGGGTTCTTCAGCGCAACGAAGAACCAGAACCAGCTGCCGACGGTGACGGTCGACCCGGAGAACCACCCGGCGCATATCACGGCCGTGTTCCACCAGCTGCACTGTCTTTACATGATCATGCAGGCGTACCACTCGGGCGTGCAGGCGACGGAGGAGACGGAGGCCATGGCGTTTCACCTGCGGCACTGCTTTGAGTACCTGCGGCTGTCGCTCGTGTGCCACGGTGACACGGCGCTCGGGGGTAGGGTCGACGACACGACGGCCGGGGAAGCGGGGGCACAGCATGTATGCAAGGACTGGGGGGCTGTCAAGCGGTTTGCCGAGACGCATCGGACGAACGAGTTTCGGGGTATCATCGACACTGACTAGCAGCGGCCTCTCGGATGAGTTGGCTAGGCATTGCGAACTGAAGACTGAAGTGAGATGGTGAAGTGTTGTATGTTGAGGATCGGAGGGAGATTCGACATTCGGAAAGAAGAAGAGTTCCTACTGTGGGTGTGCCTTCCCCTTCTTTGGTAGGTAAGTGAGGGGCAATTACCCTGTGGCAGGTGGGATCGGCCAAGGGGAAGGAAGGTCCGGCGAGACAAGCGACTTCCCGATCTGTTTCCCGGCATGTTTCCATAGGGCGCACTCACGCGGCCATTGCCCCTTCGACTTGGAGCGCTCGTCCTCGTCGGATCGAAATGTCTTTCGTGATAACTGCGTACCTTACTTCCTTAACAAGGTACTTTGGTCTGCCAAATCAACACACTACCTTATCCAAAGAGCCCCCGCCCGGCCTGGCAGCGTCATCCCATTGACTTCTCTTTGACTGTGCCTCATCATCCTCTTGACACACTCCACCACCTTGCCCACCTCGGCCCCACGATGCCACCCTTTGCCTCACGACTTGGCTTGGGCTGCATCCCTCGATCTGGACCCAGATTCTTCTCATCGACCTCCCAAGCTGCCTCGCGCCTCAAGATTAATGCTGATCGTCTGAATAACACTATCCATGACACGTGCCAATGGGGCGCTGCTCACCCCTATGGCAGGTACTCTTCAACTCCTGCCCTTCTCAAGCACCCAGAGGACTCACACATGTATGCAGCGCGCCTACGGAAACAGGCATGGCCCGCCTCGCCCTCACTGACGACGATGCCCGTGTGCGCCGCTGGTTCGCTGACGAAGTCCGCAACATCGGCTGTGACGTTGCCATAGACGCCATGGGCAACCAATTTGCCCGTCGTCGCGGCCGCACTGCTGCTGCCATGACTGCCATGGGTAGCCACCTCGACACGCAGCCGCGCGGCGGTCGCTACGATGGCATTCTGGGCGTCATTGCTGCCCTCGAAGTGCTGCGAACCTTGCACGAGAATGGCTACAAAACCAAGTTTGACGTTGGCGCCGTGAACTGGACAAAGTACGTCCTACCTTGGGCTCGACTTTCAACATAGGACTGACACGACTTGATTAGCGAAGAGGGCGCCAGGTTTCCCAAGTCCATGATCTCCTCCGGTGTCTGGGCTGGCGACATCTCGATTGACAATGCCCACGCCCTCGCTGACATTTTCGACCCCTCGGCCACTGTCAAGTCTGAGCTTCGACGGCACGGGTTCCTCGGAGACATCCCCTGCACATATGGCCCCGAAGGCTACCCCCTTGGCGCTCACTTCGAGCTGCACATCGAGCAGGGCCCCATCCTGCAGGACGCCGGCCGCCGCATCGGTGTTGTCCAGGGGGCTCAGGCCTACCGTTGGTTCACCTTTTCTGTGACGGGCCGGGACGCGCATACGGGAACTACGCCGCTCGGTGCCCGAAAGGACCCTCTCCTCGCTGCGAGCCGCATGATAGTCGCAGCCCACGAGGCGGCCAGGGCGGTGGGCGGCCTCGCATCCACAGGCGTGCTCAAGATGCCCCACCAACTCGTCCACCAACACAATTGCCAGCACAGTGAGCTTCACACTGGACATCCGACACCCAGAGGACGAGGTTGTCGCAAGGATGCAGGACACGATTCTCGCAACATTTGAAGGGATCGCAGGCATGGACGGACGCGGTGTTGAGCTCGCCTGCACCCTCGACACGGATTCGCCGGCCACCAAGTTCCACCCGGACTGCATTGGTGCCGTGGAAAAGGCGGCCGATGGACTCGTCGGCCGGGATGGCTGGCTACACATTACGAGTGGTGCGGGCCACGACAGCGTCTACACGAGCCGGCGGTGCCCGACGACCATGATCTTTGTGCCGTGCAAGGACGGCGTCAGCCATCATCCGGAGGAGTATTGCAGCCCCGAGGACTGGTGAGTGGTCTTGTATTTGATGTGCATGATGTGTTGAAGACTGACGTTTGAGAACAGCGCAATGGGAACGCAGGCATTGCTGGACGCTGTGCTCGAGTACGACGAGAGCAGAAGTTCATGAACGACAGTCGAGACGGGTATGATATTGCGTCTACCGCTTGGATTCCATCTTGAAAGTGAATGTAAGTAAAATATAGTGGATTTAAACAATTTGGTAGCTTTCTCAGAATCCCGTTTCTCTCAACGTGGCAGACACGTCTGGTTGTTCCAGGCTTGGTGATTCCAACGCCATAATGTGCATCGATTGCCTACAATGCCAGCGACTTGCTCGAAAAGTGTGTAACCCCTCTCTTGATTTCAAACTTTGACATATATATGTTGAGAAGTCAAATCCATAATCAAATTGCACGCCAATATCCAATATTCCGAAATCGATCACTGAGAATCATTATCAAGAATGTCAGACTTCGGCGCGCCCCGAGTCGGATGCAAAAAGGCGCCCCGCCCGGCGGAGCGAGCGGGGGTACCTGTAGTCAGAGGGCGCCGGAACCCGCTGCGAAGACGAGCCCAGGCCCCAAACCTACCAAGGCCCTCTCCAAACAGGCCCTGGCAGAACAAGGTGCGGCCACGGCGAGTCGGCGCACTGTCACGAGAGGGTGTTTGCTGGCTCACGCTGAAGGGATTCCATGTTTGTTTCGTCACGTCGGCCTGACGGCTTGACCCCGCCAAAGGTAGTCAGCTTTCCCTACATAGGGGCCTAAGAGCCTCGAGGTCTATGCAGGGACGAGTCCGCCACCGAGGAGAGACCGTTGTCTCGATGCCAACTAGAGAAAAGGATCTGATAGACTCCACTCTAACACGCACTCACACGCTTCCCGTACTTGCACTCTTCGTCATGGCCCCTGAAGCTGAACGGAGCAACACGCAGACCCCATTCCAGAATTCCAGGAGCCCCGGCCGCCGTCCAGGTCTTCCAGGCCTAGCTGCTGCTCCATGCGTCCACCACGCTTATGCCCCTCTCGACGCTCGCTCGCGCCGCAGAGTGTCAGTGTATAGGACACGCCGTTGAAGGGGTACGATGGGCGGCTTCCGGTGTGGACTGTTGAGAGTACTCGACCATGCTGCGCGAGGCGCGGGAGCAGCCTGGCACGCACTAGGAGGAGGCGACCTGCTCTGTAACGCCTGTCGGGTCGGGTCGCTCACGCCCGCCGTTGGGAGGCACTGCAACAGCGGCGGTTCAGGAGCGTCGTCGTGGCCGCGGAGCCGGATACGGCGCCGTGTTTGCATGAGAGTCTGCGGGCTGGCAGGTTTTTGACGGCTCACTCAGGCGCCAGGACGATCATGGACGAGATGAACTGCAGGACCGTGCCGGCGTCGCGTGGCTGGATCTGAGGACAGGCGTAGACGTAAGTGTCGTGCTGTCAAATTCGGAAACACATTTGGCGGTTAAGGCTCTCGAGGAAAGCGGCGTCAGGCTTGGGCCTTGTGGTGCTGCCGCTCTGGGCGCGTTGTGGAGAATTCGAGAGGCCGGCGGAGATGAGGCGAGTGCAGTGCCGTCGCCAGATGCCGTTGGTGTGCTTCTCGGGACTTAGAGGCCTAGGGAAAATGTCGTGCCAGACAGGCCAGGGCAGTATGGGGGTTCCCTGCCAGCGTCTAAGATTTGATGTCTTCAGGCATCAGATAGACTCCATGACAGCGTAAGAAATTCATCGAAGCTGCTTGGCTTGCAAATGCTCACCCAGTTTGTGTCTTTCAACACAGCAGTCATGAAACCAGCTTGGCAACATCGCCATATACCTATGTGCCAACCCCCTTTACCATGTCAGCCATGGGTCCTTGAATGCCACACTCACCGTCCCACGCTTCCATCGTCAAGCCCGCCCGAAAGTGCGCCGCTAAATGCTGCACCCTCTGCTCCCATCCTGTCATCCGCACCCCGCAGAACCCGCAGTGACTGGGTACCGAGTCCTGTGTGCGCCTGAGCATCGAAACGTCCATGGCCCAGCCTTCGCGCCGCCGACAGCCGTGGAACTTTTGCAGGTGCTGCACTAGGTGGTCCTTGCGACTAAACGTCCGCGCCTCGAGACTTCTCTCGGCGCACTCCTCGAATTGGTGCGACTGGAAATGGGTGATGTCCGGCGAGGAGTGGCCGCAAAAGACGCATTCCGGGTCACGGGATGCGGGGCGCCAGGTGATGAGGGGGTCAGAGGCGGCGAGAGGTACACCGCAGACCCAAGAATGGAGGCCAGGCAGGTGGACAGACTGCTCGTGACGAGACCAATCAAACTTCTTGTGAAAGGACTGGAGGCAGAACGTGCACTGGAAGCTTGTTGCTGTCGCAGGCTTGCCCGTCTTTGAAGGAGGACGGATGCCGCCATCGGAGCTGTGACCGGACCGTGCCCCGTAGTGGTTGCTTGTAGACGAGTGGAAGGAATAGCAGGATGAGTTTGAATCAGACGAGCCATCGAGGCTGAGGCCCCTTGTCTTGGAATTGAAGCTGTCGTCTGCCGAGGACGCGCTACCTTCGCGATAGCTACTATCAGCTGGCTCAAGATCGTTCGAGTTGTCGGATAGAAAGGCGTCTAGAGCACTCTCGATAAGCGCAAGATCGACAGGCTCCTCGTCCGGGGGCGAATTCCGCCATCGCTCGAGGGGCGACATGTTCGACAAGAGAGATCGTGGTCTGGGCGACCCCTGCGGGTGTTGTTGCTTGGAGGACTGCCTTGAGACCCGAAGTGATAGCCTGTGTCGACGCCGGGCATTGGTGAACCAGTTGACAACCTGCGACTTGCTGAGGCCTGATTGCTGCGCTAGAGCGTCCTTTACATCATCGGACGGATACGGATGGTCCAGATGCGCGGCAAACCAGGCTCTGAGAGCGCGGTTCTTGTGAACCGATCGAGAACTGGCTCGCTTGCTTGACGAAGATGGCATTGCTAGTGATGCTGGGTGTGGTGCTGGCGCCAAGGGGTCCTCGAGAATGGGGTATTCATCAAAAAGCGAAGTCAAGGCCGAAGGCTCTTCGTTCACTCCATGGAGATGTCCTATGACAGGTTCTGATGTTTCAAAGCTGGAGTGGTCGCGTTTGGCCTGGCCGGCCAAAGAACAGTCGCGAAAGAGGGCAACGCAGGATGAACACGATGAGACGGGGTTAGGGTTGGCTGATGTCGTCCGGAGGATAAAGCATTGCAACCGGTGACGTCTGCAATTGGCGCATGGCATAGACGGCCAGTACCTGCCATTATCGAGTAGAAGCTTGTCCAAGTTCTCGTCCTCCATCGTGTCGATGTCCAGTCGTGGCTTCACAAGAAGTGTCCATGGAGGAAGGAAGGAGGAGGCAGCAGGTGAGTTCAACATGTCCTAATCGCATATCATGATTGCTCGACCTGTGTTGCTGGTGTCACCACGGAATTGAACAAAGTGGATTGATTGTTGTTAAGGTACAAAAGGAGACTTCCAGAAGTCCAAACGAAGGTAATTGGTCAGATCCAGCATCGGTAAGGAGTCTTACCGGGGCGATAACGACAGAACAAATGCATCAAATGAGGACTCCACATTTGGGATGAAAGTACTCCTGGGTCACAGAACAGAACCTTGCCTGATCGGCAACACACCCCCTCAGATGGGTAGGCGAGCCTCTCTCTGACCATCTGAACCACGAAAGATCAGGCAGATGCCTGTTGGCGGCTTTTGGTAGAGAATTTGGTGCCTTTGGAACAGTTGGCGTTCTCAGGGCAGATGAAGGAAATCGTGCTTGTGAAGCAAATAAGGATGTGTGTAAGTGTTAGGAGAGGTGGGCGAAATTGAGCAAGCTGTTCACTGGTGGACCGCTGGTACGCACTCCATCTGCAGAAGCTTCACGAAGTTCTGATGCTTCTGAGTCGGGAGAATCTTTGTAAGCCCATCGCTCACTATCTTGTCAGTGCTCATCCAGTCCACGGATATCTTCCCCTGTCTGACTGTTTGTCGGATCCAAAGACGATGGATGTCAACATGCTTGAGCTTCGTAGTGGCTTGAGGCCTCTCACTAGTGAGTAACAGCAGCGTTTGGCGGTTATCACAGAACATCTGGATCGGAACCTTGCCATGAAAACGTAGCTGAAGCTCCTTGATCAGACGAAGAGTGGCAAGGTAGTTCCTCGCTGCGACACTGAGGGCCACCAGCTCAGCTTCGGTGCTAGAAGTGACCACGGATCGCTGCTTTGTAGCTTTCCAGTCAATTGGACCTCCAAAGAGCATGGTGGTGTATCCTTGTGAGCTAAATCTGGTGATGGGATCATCGCCGAATGATGCGTCGCTCGCACAATACAGCGATGTAGAATGGTCTCCTGATCCTCCGTAGGACAGCGAGAGAGTCCTTGTGCGATAGAGGTAGCGGAGACAGTGGTCTGCTGCAAGGTGATGGAGTTCTGTCGGCCTGAGCAGAGACTCCGCAAGTCTTGAGGCAGCTTTGGCCACATCAGGTCGTGTTGTGGTTGCTGCGTAATTGATGGAACCAATTTTGCGTTGGTATAGTTGAATGGATTCAGCAGAGGCTTCGTAATCCTTTGGAGCAGGTGCTGGGTCTGTTGATAGAGGCGTCAAATGACCTCTGGTGGATGGCTGGAGGTTGAGGTCCTTCATCTTTTCAGTGATGTAGTTCTCCAGAGACAGCCAGAGCTTGCGCTGGCTACGATCTCTGACCACTCTGATGCCTAAGAACCATCTGACCTCGCCAAGTTCTCGCATCTCGAACAGAGACTTGAGCTGGCTCTTCAGCTCTTCGGCCGCTTGGCGATCCTCTTTGCGGTTCATGAGGATGATGTCGTCAACGTAGAAGAACATGATCATGCCTCTGCCCATGAAGACACAGTTATCTTCCTCGCGAGCCACGAGGCCGATCTTCCGCATAGCCTCGGACAGCAGCTTGTGCCAGAGAAGCGGTGATCGGCGCAAACCGTACAAAGCTCTCTTCAGCTTGAAAATCGTGCGCCTCTGTGGAGCGCCCTTCTTCTGTTGCATCTCCTGCATGAGATCCCAGCCCTGAGGGGCCCAGACGTAGACTGTCTCGTCGAGGTGTGCATTTGGAAAGGCGTTGACGGCATCCAACTGGTGCGTGTCTAGGTCAAACTCTGCACAGATGGCCATCAACGTTCTGAACGTCTTGGCTGCCAGTGTCGACGCGTATGTTTCCATCTCATTCTTGGGCTGTTGGTCTCCTCGTACGCAGAGCCTGGCCTTGAACTTGGTCACGTAGCCGGTGGAGTCAACCTTGTATTTCCAGACCCAGGTCAACCCGAGAACCTTGTGTATTTCCTGGTCGACCGATTCGAAGGGGACTTGCTCGATTGTGTCCATATTTTCAATGGTGTTGACCTCCTGGACGCTTGCTTCTAGCCACTGCTTTTTGTGATCAGAATGAAGCATCTCCTTCCAGGATCTTGGCTCCGCGGGCATATCTGTTCGGAGAAGCGGTTTCTTGTTCGATGGAGTCTGAGTGTGAAAGAATGAGTATTCCACGGTCAAATGTGATGATGGAGGCATTTTCTTGCTGCGGCGGGCTCCTAGAGCCTGGTCGGTGGGGGTGCCGTCTTTGAACTGTGACGGCTTTCTGTCTCTAGCGCTCCTTCGAGTGCCTTGGATTTGTGTTGATGGCGACGGCTGTGGGGCTGGTGCCACTGATGGTCGGGCCTCCACAGTCTCTGTCTCGTCTTCAGCTGAACTTTGATCAGCTGGTGTGTGTTGAGGTGTTGATTCAGGGCTCCGAGCTACTTCGATAGTGTCTTCAATAGCCTCTTCAGTCACTTGAATGGTGTCTGGCACGGGGATCGTGTCTTCCACAGCATCTTCAGCCCCTTGAATGGTGTCTATTACGGCATCTTCCACCCCCTCAGAGACAGCTGGCTGGCCTTGTCCAGTCTCCGTCTCTGGAGTTGGACGTGGTGACGGCAGGACATCATCTCTGCTGGCTGTGTGACCTTCCCGGGGTCGCAGTATCTCCGCGTTGATCTTTCCTCCAAGTTGGAATGTCCGGGCTTTCTCGAACAGGTCGATGGTGGCAACATCGAACTCGTCAATGTCCAGTGACGAGTTGAAAGGATTCTGGGCGTCCGCAACGGGCACGTCCAAAGCCTGGAATTCGTCCTGTAGAATTGGCTTTGGGGATTGGGCGTCCTTGAAAACTGTGGACTCATCGAAACCCACGTCTCTTGTCCTCAATACTGCTTTCATCTCTGGAACCCAGATTCTGTATATGTTGCTGCTGTCGTATCCACAGAGATAGCCGATGTGGGCTCTCGGAGCCAGCTTCTGCTTTCGGTTACGTCCCTCTTGGGCGTCTGCCGTGAGAGGATACGCCCTGCATCCGTATCTTCGCAGGTGAGCCAGGCCTGGAGCCGTAGTTCGAGCGGCAAGGCCCTTGGAGTTGAGCCAGTCGTTCAGCCTTCCTTCTGGTGTCGCCCACTGTAGGCGTCCCTTCGGCGTGAGATTGTGGGAGATATGCAGCGGTTTGTACCACCTCTGGCCACAAATCCTCCGGGAACCCAGCAGCCGAGGTAAAGGGTTCTTGCGATGGTGAATATCGTGCCTCCATTGCGTTCTGCGGCACCGTTCTGTTCTGGTGTCCTTGCGGCTGATCTCTCCAAGAGAATGCCGCGCTCTTCTGACCAAGTAACCAGATTGCTGCGTAGTGCTGAGTCCCAGTCAACTCTCAGGACCTTGATGACCAGATGGTACTGTCTCCAGAGAAACATCTCAAAAGTTGATAAACGCCTGGAAGCCATCTGCTCTGGCAGGCAGAATCCTGACAACAATCTTCCCCGAATATGCGTCCGTTATTACAAGGCACGACTCCATGCCGTTGTACGACTTCCCAGGGCTGAAGAAGTCCAGGTTGACGCGCTCAAATGGATTCGTCGTCGTGTACGTTGGCTGTCTCCGAGATACAATCTTCTTGGATTTCGCTACCCCGCAAGACTCGCATTCGAATGTTGTTGGCCCTTTCACCCCAACTCCAGTACAGCTGTATGGCAGCTGCTGTATGGCCTCTGGGTGGGCATGAGCCAGCCGTTCGTGCCAGAGCCTCGAGTCGCTGACCATCGCGGCTCTCTGCTTCTTGGAGTGATAGAAGGAAGTGGTGCTATGTAGGGTGTTCACCGCATACTGGCCACCCTTCTCCTGAAGTGGGATCTCTGAGCCAGTGGCTGGGTTGAACAGCATGTTCCTGAGGGAGTCCAGTCCGAGTCCTTGGCGTTGGAGCTGCCTGGCTGAAATAAGCGTCGTCGGGTAGTCTTTGATGTACGAGACATCATGGCAGGTGATGCTGATGACGTTCTGCTTGCTGTCGAGGGTGTCGATGGCCATCGTGCCATGCCCTTCGACGGGGCTTGATTTGCCTCCTCCTGTGCTGTATCTTACAGTGTCGGTGGCCTCGCGAAAGTTGGTGAGGAGGTCTTTGTTGTTGGTTATATGGTTGGGTGTACCCGAGTCGATCAGGAACTCGTGACGGAGATCCCCTCCTCGGTTTGTCCGTTGAAACTCGTCCGAATCAGCGACGGAGAAGTTGCTCATGAAGTTGGTGTACTCGTCATCGCAGCTCTGTTCATCATCGTCACCGAGGAAGTTGTTAAAAGCAGAGACGGCGACTCCACTGGTGCCTCTTGCCTCCTGCCGCTTCTTTTTGTCCTCCTTGATTTTCTCGTTCCAGAATTGCAATGTGCTTGGCTTCATCCTTTTCTTCGCTTCGTCAATGTAGTCCAGCAGGCTCTGATCGGATTGATAGCTCTTCTTCCTCCGGTGTTCCGCGATATTTGGGCACAGACAGATGGGCTGACACGCCTTGGGTGCCCTCTTCTGCTGTACACAGTCGCAGAATGGTCTGCGAGAAGGCGAGCTGTTTGGCTGTTGAGGAGAGTCACGATGGGAATCCTGGGCACTCGTCCGATCACTTTGACCATTCCGGTCCTTGCCCATGAAGGTCACCGAGTCGCTGTAGAAGGACGTCTGAGATGGCTTGGTGGTGAGGCGATGCGGTTGGTAGTCTCTAAGGTAGCTCTTGTACCTCAACGCCAGTACCTTCCCTCCATCACGATCATCCAGCTCCCGGCGAACTTGGTGGGCGCACTCTGCTTCGGCCCACCCTGGAGACACGGAAAGAATTGCCCGAAGGAATTGAACATTTTGATCTGCGGCTTCTTTAAGCTGAGGAATCCCGTGCTTCTCAACTTCGATACAGAGTAGGATGAAGTCGTCAACCCACTTCTCATGGTCCATCTTCTTGATCATCGCCATATGCTCCTCCCAGCGCTGGCGAATGTATTGTTTCTGTCCCATGTCGGAAGGGGCGAAGTGGTCCTTCAACGCCTTGAGCCACTCCTGGCTGCTTTCCTCGTTCATGAAGACGGCCGAAAGGCTCCTGTCGACTGTGTTGAGGATGTATTTCTGGACCTCCTGGAGGCCCGCTGACTCCCTGTTGTAGATGTCCAAATGGATCTTGTACAACGTCAGCAGTGTGCTGAGATCTCGCGTCTCATCTTCGAATGACGGTGCTGTTGGCTTCTTGGCCCTCTTGGGCCGCCTGTCAGCCTCTTTGTCTGGGTCGACTAGATCCCAGGCCTCGTAGGAGGTCGCCACGGCTCTGACGGAGTTGAGCCATGTCCTCCATTCCTCCCTCCTTGTAAGTGTCACTCTGTGCTTACCAGAGTCCATCTTGAGGATCCCTGGGCGTTGTCGGAGACCGTCGGGGAGGTCGTTCGATGGTCGCGACTGATCGCGTGTATGTTGAATATCATCAATTGACCCCGCGTGTACTCAAGCCCTAGGCCACACGTCTCGGAGGTTCAATTGGTCTTGAGGAGCTGATTTCTCCTGCTTCGATGTGTCGTGGAGAGATGATCGCTCTCCTGGAGGATGTCGGTAACGGCCCTTGGCCAGTGGTCGTCAATGGCGAAACGTCGCGTCAATTGACTGTTGAAGTGCAGCGGCGATTCAGCTGTAGACAGCTTCGCAGCAGGCGTATTGGCCGTAGGCGCCCTGCTGTAGATATCGAAGGTCAAGGAGCTGTATCGTCGCCCGGGCTCATAACTGTCACCACGGAATTGAACAAAGTGGATTGATTGTTGTTAAGGTACAAAAGGAGACTTCCAGAAGTCCAAACGAAGGTAATTGGTCAGATCCAGCATCGGTAAGGAGTCTTACCGGGGCGATAACGACAGAACAAATGCATCAAATGAGGACTCCACATTTGGGATGAAAGTACTCCTGGGTCACAGAACAGAACCTTGCCTGATCGGCAACAGCTGGTTTGTCTTGTCCTCGGTACATGCAATAATAAGGAGACACCGTATCACCATAACCGAATTCCACAACTAGTACAGGGCAGGCTCATGAACAAGATCTCAACCCACCACAAACCGCCTGGCCATCCTCAGACAGCCTTACTCTACAAGGCGTGCCGAATTTAAAATGGAAGTCATCGATAACGAACCTCTCCAGGTCTCGTTTCCTCTACCCCGTTCTATCGACACTCGCGTGTTCATTCACCTCACCATCAAGGCCAAAGCCATCACCTTGTTCCTCACCACAGCAAACCAGGATGAGCCATCATCGCCAGCAGCCATGGGCTCCTTCGTCTACGCTCTGCCTGACGTAAGACATTCTTTCAACCTCCTAGCTGAATATCACTGCCCCGTCACTAAACATGCACAGCGTCTCAACCCCGCCCAGCCAATCTCCACAACACTCTATGTCCACGAGCCGACCCTCGAATTCACACAGCGCATGGCTAAGCTGATCGCCAAGCGGGCCAACATGCCCGTCTATGTGACCAACAGTAGTTCCTTCACAAACTGCCCCGAGGGCGGCACCGTTGAGGAGGAGATGGACGTCTTCAAGCGGGTCGTCGATGTGGTGACTGAGCGGGTCCGGCTGGTTGTCAAGCCGACAGCAGCAGCCAACGGTATCTGATCGTACGCTGCTTTAGGTACTGCGAAGTTATGGGAGCCGTTTGCGAGGGTCTTCTCTTCATGGCTGGCGTCACGTCGAAACACTGATGAATTCTGCTTCGGGGTGATGTGCCAGCAGCTTTCGCTGTCCCGCGTAGCTGTTCATGTTGCACATCTACGATCGGCAGCAGAGGGGAAATGAGGGCACATGCGGCCTGCCGCAGGAGGTGGCTGGCGGGGACATTTTGGGTACGCGATCAAGGTTGCTCTAGAGACGCGGAGAAACGAGAGCTCTGAATGTGTACGAGAGCTCAGAAGGTCTGCGAACGACGACAGAAGCTGTTGCGAAATACCATGCCATGCCCAGTGTTCTCTTTCAGCATGACTGTAATGAGGATTTTCCTCACGGAGAGTCTCACTTCCAGTCAACGGCCATCTCTAGCGCATCAAAATATTATTGTTACGAAACAGGAACTTCGGACCGTCGCACGTGGCATCTCAAGCGCTGTCTTGTGTCACGCCAGGTGACGAGGTATGATAGACGGGCTGCTGCAGGCGGTGGCAAGGGAGGTGCCTGAGAGCTCGACGCCAGGACGACGGAATCTTCTGTAGCCAATGGCCCTAATTAATACCTTGCAGTCGCCTATGGCCCAGATATAAAGAAAAACGAGTTGACACACGTGTTTCGTCCATCCATCGCAAGAACCACGACTGTGGAATGTACCTTCCAACCTACCATGCTGGAAGAGGCAACATTCATGTAAAGGAATAGGCAGTAAAGGGTGCAAATCGCCCCAGGCCGGTGCATCATCCGAACAAGGCTTATCGAACGGACTATCTTTCGTCAGAACCCCACCCTTAGCGCAACCAAGGATTTTGCGGGCAGCAGCAGTGACTGGCAAAAGTCACCACAGAGAAGCGGGACAGAGATAGATGGAGGGCGGGGGCCGCAAGCACTGTAAGGCAGGGTGACTTTAGGTACCGTGCCAGTTGGATCTGTGCTTTTCCATCGCCAGATCAGGTTTGCAGCCCGCCTTCTGTGTCCTGCCTCTCGCCTCCTGCCTCCTACTCCTTATCTGTATGGCCTCCATTTCGAACCGAGGGCAAATTGCGGTATTCCTGCAAGGTAGGCAGCTACCTTGATCGTCGACAGCTCCCTTCGGAGACAACGGTACGTCGTCTGTCGAAACCCCTCCCCTTCTTGGCGGCAGTGTCTGTGCCAGTGCCACATGTGCCAGCACCCTGACCCCTGCTCTCTCTCTCTCTCCCCCTCTGATTTTTGGCTCTTTCGACCTTGGAGCGGGTCTCAACGAGGGGCTCGAGCCTGGAGTGTCAGTCGCGGGGCTTCAAATTCCTGTCGCTTTCCGCACCGCACCACTCCACACACCACCACCACCACAACATTATTCCTACCACTGATCGGGCGCATCGTGGGAACAGAAAAGCGCTGACCAGCAGTCTCCCACTAGTACTGCCTCGGTGGATGTAATTCTCGGCACAATCTTTATTTCATCGCCGGCCTGCCTTCGTTTTGTCTACGACTTGTCGCATCCATCGAACAACCGAAATCAAACCACCTCGATCCTTTTCAACTCCCACATCGACCGACCCCCCTCGAACCGACACCATCATGACCTGGCAGCCAAGCCAGGAGTCCTTGAGCCAGCTCGCTGTCTGTCTCAAGGACTCCCTGAGCGGCTTCGACAAGAATGCGCGCAAACAGGCTGAAGATGTGGGTTTCATTCGCATATTTCGAGCGATCTGACCTTTTCGGATCACAAATGTCAACTGCCGTCGCAAAACGTTACTGACGTACTCTGCTTCAGATGCTCACGCAGGCCAAGGCCTCGCCCGATATCAACAACTACCTCGCCTACCTCTTCTCCAGCGCCGAAGCCCCGGCTGGCGTCCCCTTCAACTCCATGGAGTACCACCTCGTACGATCCGCCGCCGCCATCATGCTCAAGAACAACGCTCGCTCCCAGTACAAGCAAATCCCTGAGAGCAGCATGTCCCTCATCAAATTGGCCATTCCCATGGGAATTCAGGACAAGAACCCGCAGATCCGAAGCTACGCTGGCAACATTGCGACGGAAATCATCAAGAACGGCGGTCTCCTGAGCTGGCCTGAGCTACTGCCCCAGCTCCTGAGTCTGTTGTCGAACGAGTCCGGTCAGGTCCCTGCCGAGGCCCAAGAGGGCGCCATGCACGCCATGGCCAAGATCTGCGAGGACAATGTGAAGCTCCTGGATCGCGAAGTCAACGGCCAAAGGCCTCTGACTTTCCTCATGCCCAAGTTCATCGAGGCCACCAAGAACTCTCTGCCCAAGGTCCGCGCCCAGGCTCTCAGTGCTATTAATGTCTTCATCCCCCGCAAATCGCAGGCCATGCTCAACAACATTGATGATCTGCTATCTCACCTCTTCACGCTGGCCACGGACGACAACCCCGATGTGCGTCGCCAGGTGTGCCACGCCTTCGTCCAGCTCGTGGAAGCTCGTCCCGACAAGCTGCAACCCCACATTAGCGGACTGGTAGACTACATCATCTCGCAGCAAAAGAGTGACGACGAGGAGCTGGCCAGCGAGGCTGCCGAATTTTGGTTGGCCGTCGGCGAGCATCACGATCTATGGCAATCGCTCTCGCCGTACCTCGACAAGATCATCCCGGTCCTGCTGGACTGCATGGTCTACAGTGGAGAGGATATTGCACTCCTTGGTGGCGCATCAGACGACGAGGACGAGGAGGATCGCGAGGAAGATATCAAGCCGACGTTTGCCAGAAAGTCTGCTGGCAGACAGGCCAACGGACCCGATGCTTCGGCCGACCCAGGACAAAACGGAAATGCGTACGAGAAACTGGCCGACATGGAGGACGACGATTTGGAAGACGGCGAGATCGACGAGCTCGAGGATGGCGACGAGGATCCCGAGGGCAAGTGGACGATTCGCAAGTGCTCTGCCGCAGCTCTCGACGTTTTCTCGAGGGATTTCCAGGACCCCGTGTTCACGGCCATTCTCCCGTATCTGACGAAGAACCTGAAGCACGAGGATTGGCAGTACAGAGAAGCTGCCGTACTGGCGCTCGGCGCCGTTGCCGAGGGAGCTAGTCGAGCTGTCACACCTCATCTTCCCGAGTTGATACCCTTCCTGTTGACGTCGCTGGAGGATCCTGAACCCATCGTCAGGCAAATCACCTGTTGGACGCTGGGTCGCTACTCGCATTGGGCGGCCGGTTTGACAGACCCAGCGCAAAAGGCTGCATACTTCGAGCCCCTGATGGACGGCATTCTGCGCAAGATGCTCGACAAGAACAAGAAGGTTCAGGAGGCAGCGGCTTCCGCCTTTGCGAACCTAGAGGACCAGTCCGGCAAGGTACTTCAGCCATATGTTGTACCGATTCTGCAACAGTTTGTCCGCTGCTTTGCGCGCTACAAGGACAGGAACATGTACATCTTGTATGATTGCGTGCAAACGCTCGCCGAGCAGATTGGACCCTTTATGGCGCAGCCCGAGATTGTCAACATCTTCATGCCGTCGCTGATCGAGCGTTATCAAAAGGTCAATGATCAGTCGCGCGAGCTGTTCCCGCTGCTCGAGTGCCTGTCCTACGTTGCCATGGCGCTCAATGACTCTTTTGCGCCCTACGCCCAACCTATCTTTGGTCGTTGCGTCAACATTATTCACATGAATCTCGAACAGAGCATGGCGGCGAATAACAACGCGGCTGTCGAGTCGCCCGACAAGGACTTCCTCGTCACAAGCCTCGACCTTCTGAGCGCCATCGTCCAAGCGCTCGAGAGCCAAAAGTCGCAAGAGCTTGTTAGCAACGCAGATGCTTCATTCTTCGAGCTTCTCGGCTTCTGCCTCGAGGATCCGCAGGACGACGTCCGCCAGTCTGCGTACGCCCTCCTCGGTGACTGCGCCAAGTACGTCTTCCCGGCTCTGGAGAAGCACCTCGGCACTATTATGCCCATTCTCCTGCAGCAGCTTGACCTTGACAGCATCCTTGACGAGGAGATCGACAGCGGCTTCAGCGTTGTCAACAATGCCTGCTGGTCGGCTGGCGAGATTATCATGCACAACACCAAGGACATCTCTACTTACGTTCCCGAACTCCTCCAGCGTCTCGTTGACATTGTCTCCAATCCGGCCGTCTCGCACGCCGTCACGGAGAACGCCGCCATCACGATTGGTCGCCTCGGCCTGCACCACAACGGGCAGCTCGCCGGCATGCTGCCCAACTTTGCCGAGGACTTTCTCACCTCCATGGAGACGGTCGAGACGTCCGAGGAGAAGGCCACGGCGTTCAAGGGCTTCACGCTTGTCGTGGCGCAGAACCCGCAGGCCATGGAGAAGGCGCTGCCACAGTTCTTCGTGGCAATTGCGAGGTACAGAGACCTGAAGCTGGAGAACCCGACCAAGCAGGAGCTACACCATCTCTTTCAAAATGTGGGTTACTGTTTTTGACTTGGCTGTCTAAGACAACATGCGACCATTTGCTAACTTGCGCCCCCCCCAAACCAGATCCTCAACGTCTACCGTCAAATGATCCCCAACTTTGCGGACTTCATCGGCCAGATGCAGCCACAGGACCAGCAGGCCCTCAAGGCGAACTACTCATTATGATTGGAGAACGGAAGGGAAGACCGGATGAGGCGGGAGGTCGCATCGATGGCCCGCCAATAGCCCTTCAACATGCTAGGCGCATGTGGATAGGTTTCATCCATTGCATGATTATGGGCATTCACGGGTAGGGGAGAGTGTGTGGTGGGATACCGCCATGGCGGAAGCGGGGGGTGTTGATGCTTTCCGCAAAGACGTATGGTTCACGATGGGTTTGAGATGAGACACAAGCGACTGGGACATATCCGAAGACCGGAATGTTGTATTCTGGGGGAGCACGCGCGCGCACAGGGTTTGAGCAGACTGGTAGGCAGCACGAGACGAAGTGGAATGAAAGCAACCCCGTTATCAGCAACGTCGATGCGAATCCGAAGGCCTGGCGCCGCGGCGGCGTGGCAGTGGCAGCGGCAGCGGAGACGGAGGCGGCAGAAGGTCTGGGAAAGGGACGGGAAGAGCCAGGAAGATGCTATTCTTGGGAGATGCCATGGACGTGCTATTGTCTTAGGCGCACACGAGCCTGCATGAGAGACGAGGGCACGTGGTGCCCTGCACAGTTGCAGTGCAAGGGATGCGGCATTCGACAGGCCGGCACGATCGGTGCTGAACTCTCCAATGGAGCGACCCATGACGCGTTCCAAAAAAAGAAAGTCCAAAAGTAAGGGCGTCGTTTTGGGGTTCTTTCTTGGCACATGGTCAACACAACGAAACGCTCGACTTTGGGGGTTTTGGTCGTCCAATTTTTAATTTTTCTCTCTCTCTCCCTCTTCCCTTGTGTTATTCAAACCCCACCCTTTCGTCCATAGATAGATAGGTAGCTTAGTAAAGTAGGTAGTTCAGTAGATAGGTAGTCAGTCACAGAGTAGCGGGCAGAGCACATCGTCCTCCATCCGTTTTTACCCTCTCAAGTTATTTCCGTTCTTGGTTTACTTCGACTTCCTCTCCATGCTGCTACTGCCGCCCGATCGCCACTCGACTAACAGCCGGCCGGCTACACGGTTGAGGACATGAATGGCGTTTTCCCCCACCAGTCGGCCGCTTCTTCATATTGGATTCATTCGAAGGGCGACGGACTATCTTCTCCTAACCCAGCCTACAATCGAAGCGCTCCTATATTGAGTTTCTTTTTTCTCGGCCCTGGCCCCCCCATCCCACCCCTTTTTCCCTTTGGGATGGCGGCCGCTTGCCCCTAATTTGGCATGGGCCGCACCCTCACCACCCCACAAAACGAGCCGCGCTCGTCGTTCGCCCGACTGGTCGTCCATCCCCCATTCCCGCCCATCCAAGAATCCCGACGCCCATTGTCCCCCAATCTCGCCACCCGCTAGCCCGTGGGAACTGGAAAATGGGACACAAAAAGACGGCTCTTGACTAGCGAAACTCTGTCTCCGTGATCGCCAGGGGTCCTGTTCTGTACCTCGGTAAAGAGGCGAGCAGGAAGGAGCTGGGGCTTGACATGGTAGGCGCCAAGGGAGCAATGGGCAGAACGATAAAATAGTATCAAAATGGAAAGTAAGACGAGAGGGCTCTCTGTCTGCATACGAGCACTGAGGGCGGAGAGGGAGAGAACATGTGTGGGGGTGCGTTGCAGCTGCGCCGAGAATAGGAACGAACAAGCTCAGAGGATACAACATGGTGATATTGGGAGGGATCTGTCTCAGCAGGGGGTATCACGGAGGACAGTCTGGATAGACTTTTGAAGTGTCTGGGGTCCAAGGGACGTTTCGAAATCGCTCACCATAGAAAACAGAGAGATAGACAGACACGACAGAGAGAGGGGCCAATCTTGTTCGTGCTGAGTCAGGGTTGACAAGCTTAAAGAATGCCGGTGCGCTCGGCTCGACCTCTTTGAGCGCCCGCTGCCCGTCGGGGAATTGTAAACCTAATATGTCTTGACCGGGACGCGAAGTTTCTTTGTATGCGGATTTTAGATGAGGCAGTACAGACGAGACTCTCATCGGGCGAGGGATGTAAATCTAGTCATGGAATGTTCCGTTGGTCTAGCGGAGAGAACAGTCCCTCGCTGACACCTGGGAGGCCTTGAAGCCTCCATGGTTCTTGGCAAGGCCACAAGAGATACATGACAGTGACAAAGGGGCGTGTTGTCAGCAAGGTTTCCTACAGGGCGCATAAGCACGCGGCAGATGTTGAAAATGGCGACAAGATGGCCAGCACGACCTTTCCCAAAAGCATGATAGACAACTTTAGCTCGCCCGCCACGTTGGCGAGCGGGAAGTCTTTCGGGGGAACAAGCTGTCATGCGCCTATGATTCGAACGCTAAACACTCCGTCATGATCTGCCCTTGAAGAAGAAACAAGGGAGGCTTCCAGAATGCTTAACATAGGACAGACGGCGCTGTCGATCATGTTGGCGCCGTTCGACGCCTCTGGCGTGATGATCTTCCGGGCACATCGGACCATCAGCCACATCTGGTTTCCACTATCTCATTCACTTGCGTACTGTACTAGCTATCGTGATCTTGGATATGCGAGAGGGCAGAGCAAAGTCATGGGCGTGATGTACTGTTGCGCGCTGTCGTGGTCATGACACTAGGTAGGTGACCTGAGTATTCGCCTAACGACAGGGGCACAGTAAAATGATGATTCGTCGCTTCCGCTGAAAGAAGTCCATGTATGATGGTCGGCAAAACGAATTGGTCGTAAAGTTCTTGGCCATCCATCTGTATTCGGCGCGGGAATATCGGGGTGGTCTTGGCTACGCTTCCCGGCACGCGCCATCGCAGAAGGTGGTGCTTCCGGAACGCTGGCCGACGGACTGACGTCAAGAGCCTTGATCTGCCGGCGAAAGCCGTGGAATGGATATGGTCAAGAACAGCACAAGGGAATTTTCGTCGGCTATTGGACCGACTACGAGAGCTGTGGTGATGCCCGACACATATCGGCCTCCTCTGGCAGGATGTTACTCATGGTCCTTCCGACCCTGAGGACCTCGCCAAGAACAGCCGCCTCAGCCCCGTCACGCGCTTGTCGTGTACTGAGGTGGGCCTCATAGACGTAACAGCCGGCGCGCCTCTGCATAGCTAGTTGAGCTCATTGGCAGGTCGGCCTGAACCGAGGACACTATGTCTCGCCGCTTAGTATCCAACCAAAAGTGCATTTAGGGGACTGGTGCCACTTTCCTGGCGAGCAACATGTCGTGCGTAACGTTCCTTCGCGCACCGCCACCACTCGGTCATATCGCGGAGTGGCAGGACGGCGCCAGCGGGTTGGCGGCAGAGGCTGCACGCGCCGTGAGACAGGTAAGATCACGACCGCTTTCGGCAACGCCCTTGCGTATATCACATGCTGTCAGCTGATGAGCCGGAGCGACTGCTGAATCATCGTACGCTCGCCAGCCAAAAGAGGCGTAAAGGAATGTTTCCTGTGTACATAGTACAATGTACCCCGCAAAGCCGCAAGTCTATGGGGTTATATGTTGCCCTACGACAGTGAGACAGACAGAAAGATTTATATCCTGACATGTGTAAATCCTACATTATCGCCAGATGCTGGGGTGGGATTGCAAGAGCGAGCCTAATCTGACTTGGGTTAGCGCAGGTGTGTCGGCAAGCGGGAGAGCTAATGCAGCCTGCGGATGAAAATAGCATCAGAAAAGAACACGAGTGATGCTGAGAGGTTGTCCATTTGGGGCGGCGCCCGACGGTGAGAAACTTAGCGCCTGTTGGGGTTGCTACGGGCGGTTTTCTGGCTGGTTCTTGGGTCGACATACTAAACACTACCTAGCCAAGCTATCAGGCCATGCTATGAATGCGGGTCTGTAGGTACCATGTACATAGTATGTCGGGGGCAAATGCCATGCGGATTGTCTACCGAACGGATCAACAAGAAAAGTGGCATGCTGAACCGAAATGCCAGCTCGTGATCATGATTCCGTGCGGAACCAGGCAATGCAACCATTCTGCACCGAATGATTTGGGTTGGCCAACGACGAGTTTTGCAATCTGTTCACAAGTTCTTGAGTCAAACATCTGGAAAAGAATGACCGTGTTTGATAACGTGCAAAAAAATTGCCTATTCGAGCATATGGTGTGAGACAGTCGGCCCCCGCGGCTTCCGGGTGGGTGGGTTTTCTCTCGACAGTGACTGGGGCTTTCTCAGCGGAGATCCGGGGATGATCGGGCAGAGTGAACGAAGGGTCCTCAGTACTAATTGCAGTACCTCAACCGAGAGATTTGCGGCATCGCAAGACGTCATTGTGTGCGGCATTTCATTCAACGGACTCAGCGGATAGCCGTGCCCTGGGGTTTCCCCGTACCTATCCAGCCCTAGGTATATCGCCGATCCGAGGCTTGAGGCTACAACATGGTGATGGGTCGTCCGCACACATATTGGCCGATTGACGGGGTTGCAGGGGGTTGAGTCAGGAAAGCGAAAGGTAATGGATAAGTAATAAGAATGGCGAACTTTTTTCATTTTTGGGAGGGGGAAGGGGTTGACGCGGTGAATAGACGATGGTTGATAGGGTTGATCACAACGTTGTTGTGGATGAAGATTACGAACTTCATTTCCACCGACTGTTTGATGTATATTCTGGCTATCGGGGCGTTAGACCTGACAAGGAATGTTCTGCGTACCCTGACGCCAAGCGTACCATGTCCCAGTCGTGAAGAAACGGCAACGCAAGCCGCTCGCGCTATATGATGGTGAATGGTACAGCACACGGCACCTTGCCGCCGAAACTGCTTAGCCCGCCGAGCTATGAGGCCCTTGGCTGCACTGCATTTATAATGGCTCGACGCAACCCGCTGCGCAACGATTCGGGGGTTCTTGACGAAGCGGGTTAGCAGAAGTGCGCAACGGATGTAATACTTGGGTGGTCAGTTGCTTCACTGCAAGGTTCGCCGCACTAACACAGGGCGTTTTGACAGCCAGCCACGCCACAGTTCCATGGCAGGTTCGGTTATCGACCGCTATTGATGCAAACCACGACGACCGCGGTGGGCGCTTTCTTCAAAGTTGACTAGGTGCCAAATTGCAACTTCACT